TTCAACTGCCAGATATAAATAACCTAATTTATGATTGTGAATAAAAATAAAAAAAATATTCATCTATATTTAATATTTTCTAACTAAAGTAATCTTCGATTGGTTAATTAGCTCATAATTGTTCTTATATACTGTATTATTTATAAAGTTGGTGATCGGCAGAAAAAAGGGCCAACCATTTAGGGCTCCTTTGTAGGAGCAATTGGGAACTGCTGATTTATGTAATGTAGTGTGATAAGAAAGTATAGGGGATTTGGTGCGATTCAGAGAACGGTGGTCATTGAAGAAAAAGAAAAAAAAAAAAAAAAACGCGTGACATCATTTATGGATAGCATCTTATTAAACAGATTAGTTTATTTTATAACCGCCGTTGAGCAGCCGACCTAATTTTTGGGTTTTCGACTACTAATGTTCAACTACGTTGCCTTGAAATTTTGATCCCAATCCAGACGATCAAGTATCGGGAGAAATTTGAACTTGTGGAGGGCTTATTAATAGAACTAATCCGCGTTTGCGTTACACGGGGAGAAAAACCCCGAAAAAAATTCCACGGTTAGCCTTGAAGGCAAGGGGACTCTAACCCATGATCTGTCTACCACTGAGGATATTTTATGCCAGCAGTGTGGTCGGTGCGAGCCGGATGCGGAATTTGCATGGACCCGCCATCCCTGGGATTCGAACCCGGGTCAGTTTATTGGAAGGTGAACGCCCTATTCCTTGAGCCATCACGGCTCAGATTAGTTTATTAAAAAAAATAATAAAACGGTTAGGTTAGTCACAAAAAAAATTTAAACAAAAATCTTTTAAGTAGATTTTTAAAAAAAATGGGGGACGGCTCATATGATCAGTCAAAACAATGAAAAAAAATTGTGACATCATTTATGGACAGCACCTTTTAAAACAGATTAGTTTTTTTTTAAATGATAAAATGGTTAGATTAGACACAAAAATTTTTTTTAGACTAAAATCTTTTAAATTGATAAAAAAAAAAATGGGTCACAGCTCATATTATCAGCTTTACCAGTAAGAATATACAAAGACTTTTGCTTTGGAGCACAAAACGAATGGTATTTTGGCATAAAAGAAGTCGCTGTTGTCGAGGTAAAAATAATAGATACTTCTACATAAGAGAGCGCAACGAAAATGTTAAAAAGGAACTTCATACCCCACGCAAGAGGAGAGAGAAAATGGTTAAGGGTTATTTTTATCTGAATGAGAGATAGTGCTCTTTCGCCACCGGCGTGTGTCGTCTTTTCACGAAGGACTTTGCCCCAGACGACCGACATTCCGCCAGTGGCGTACAAAATCCCTCCACCGGGAAGCAATTAACCACGTATCTTCCTTTTCAAAAACAGTCATGAGAGACAAGGCACATATGAGGAGACTTGGCGATAAAAAACGGAGATCCATAATCTTTTTTCAATTGTTCGGTGCAGTTATATTTCTAAAATCTATTAACTGGCAAACACTAAAAAAAAATCCACTTTTCAATTTACAATAAATATATAAATTATTAAAAATATAAGGGCTTATTTTTTTTCCTCTTTTGTTTGTACAGAGTATTCCGCAATAAATTATCTTTAATGTATATTTTTAGAATGCTTGTCAAAAATGAAATAAAAAATATTGGTCGCATATGCAAGAGATCAAAAACATAAAAATTCTAGCTGCATTTTTCAGTTGAGGAAAATGGTATAAAATGTATCATAACCAATTTGATTACCTCAGGAAACTTCGGAGATGTTTTGTATAATCGTTTTATAAAACCCTCTCTGTTTTTCCCGGCAATCAAATAAATGTTGGTCTTTTCGTTCCCGCCGTCGTAGTAACTAGACTTCAGTGCCGTGTTTCTTTAATCCTTGCTGAAAATTAATTTGCGATACTTTTCGTGTATTCCCTTGTTGACTATTCTTAGAATATGTATTGAGGGACACAAAAGAACTCTCATTATTTTATTCTGGTGCAAGAACAGAATTTTTTTTATTTTTTATTAAAGTATCTGTGACTCATTCAAAACGATTTTTTTTTCTTCCTTTTTCTTTTGTCCAGCCTTTCTCCTGAATAGAATTACAATTAAAGAATAAACCGATTTATAAATTTTCGGTGATATTTGCTCTTTTAGCTGACTACATTGGTTTACAAAAAACACGTTTCAAATTCATTTAAAGGTGAAATACTGAGTGGTTCCATGCTTTTAGTTACTTTGTAATTCGTGACGTCATGTTGTTGGGGCAACACGTTAACTGCGTCATCTAAAATATCCTCTAGCATTGTTGTTTGTTCTTCTCTTGAATAATTAATTTACCCACATTTAGTTAGAAAAGCAACAATAGCTCAAAGGAATTGGATATCAGCAAGTGACGTCATCGTATTTAAATCGTGGCGTTTGATTTAAAAACCAATCAGGTTAGACTCCGCTTACAGGTATCCAATTAAATCACATGGTTAAGCATACTCACTTCACTACTTCTCGAGTAGCAAGTACCCAATTTTGAGAAAATCAAGAAACATGCTTACTAACCGCTTTACAAATTTGCTTCTATTGCATGGATCTCGCCTTCTAGTTCTCGATTTTCGAAGATTCTTCGCCTTCTAGTTCTCGATTTCGATTCTTGTCTGACAGTTGGAGGATAAGCCACAACAACACAAATTTGCTTAAGCATTTTTTGATAAATTTAGGGGGGGGGGAAATTATGTAACAAATAAAATACCTGCAATGTATTTTCATGAGTGGAAGTAAGCACTAGTAAACTCGGAAAATTTTGAGTTTTAAAAAAATCATGCCACGTTCAGATTTAATTCTTATTACATAGGATGGTTTGTAACTGCAATGTGTTTTGCAAACAGCTGCTTATTATTACTACATTTTCCAAAATTAGTTCCTTCATTCCCAAAACATTTTCTTCCGCTAAACTTATTATAGTATTTATAACTGGACTATAAACTGGATTTCATGTATGATGGTTGTATATAAATATAGTAGATATAACTGCTTTCCCTTAACAATTTTAAATTATGAAGAATTATTCATTTTAATTTGTTTAATTTTACAGTAAAAAATAAAAAAAGGAATTTTGATGTTTAATAATGCACTGATTGTAACGCTTTTTTTTTAATTATAAGAAATATTAAGAAACGTTATTAAATATTAAACATTTCTTAATGGTTAAGTACATTCATCTTTTTTTCCCCTCGTGGTAAAGGTAACTCGAACAAACCCTGTAACATTTAAATCATTGTAATTCTTAACAAGAAAACTGTTCGTGTTTATAAGCCGGGTTTTATCAAAGAAGAGTTAGTTGTCTAGCAATTGAGGTCGAGGTGAATCCCCGTAACAATGACGCACAGTTGGACTTGATTTTATTTCTTTTATTTAACTCTTAAATTCATAACAGGAAAATTAAAATATAGAGCTTAACTTACTATGAAATAGATTTAAATCTATGTCTAGCTAGTGAAGTACCTAATTCGGGTTTTGAAAAATAAAAAATATCCTACATTTGCCAACCACTTCACAAAAAAGATTGTTGCACTAGGAAATTGACGCTTACCAGTAATTGTAATGAATTTCTAAAGGCCATTTTAATTGAAAACTGGATAGGTAAAGTTTCTAAAAGACATTTTTCGGGAATTTTTTTTCTTTTTGGTGTAGATCTTAATTAAGAACATACAATCATTTTGCCAAGTCATTAAATTTCGGATAAAGGTGGCATCTTTTAGTATTTTTGACGCAGAATTAAATTTTAACTGCATTTCGGTAATTAACAGTCTATGACAACCTTAGGAAAAGAAGGAAACTAGAATCCATTACAACGTTTTTTTTTAATAAAAGACAGCTTAACATACATACGTACATAACATACAAATAGTAGCAGGCTGATCCAGGATTTTGTACAGTACTTCGAATTGCACAGCCCACTTTGACAAAGGGATGTCACATAAATATCTTTTCATTTTTTTTTNAAAATTAAAAAAACAGAATTATATAAAGGAGAGAATAAACTTGTGATAATTAACATTATCACATACACTTTCTTTTTTTTACACACCCATTTCATAAGGAACTCCCTTACTTGCTGCAATCTGATTGGGGAAACATTATAAAATGTATTTTAGAAGAGGTCAACGACAATAATATGCACTTAAGTTGGCTTAAAGTAGGAATAACATTTATTTCTCTCTCTAACAGTTGAGAACAAATATATAGTTTTATATATACATATACAAAGCACTTTAAATCAATATTCTTCACTAATGTAAACCATACAATATTTAAATTAGTAGTGCACTATGAATGGTATTGCAATCACACGTAAAAGAATAATATAAGCGGGGAATTTTAAGACTAGAAAACCATCAGACTGCACCACTAAATAAATACACTGGTAGTTCAAACTTTTTTTAAAAATTAAATTAGAAGTCATTGAAGTATCAACATTTGCATAGTATCATTATAACTGTAAATAACTATTATGGAAAATATATATAGTTAATTTATGGAATTGCAGTTTCCACAAGTGGTTTTTTAGTTACATTTTTTTTAAAATTATTATAGTTTTAACTTTTTTAATTATTATTTTTTTCATTTTTTTAAAATTATGAATTATTGTATCTTTGGATAGTCAAACAGAAAAAGATCAAACCAAATAAGAATGATCAGATTCTGTTGGATCTTCAATAAGAATAAGATTTTTTATTATCTATTTTTACATTTCACTTGGTTCAGCCCTTAGTATAAATGTTAAAGACCTTTGGAGAATTTTTATTTCGAATGAGAATAAATTATGTTAGGGCATTATCCTGCAGTTGTGTTAGGGCAAGAATCAATGAAATTTTTCGGTTTATGAAAATATTTTGTGCATGTAACAATGCATAAATTAGCCATTTAAAATTTGAAAATTTTTTCAGGCTCCAGAATTGTTAAGTGAATATTTTAAACTCCAATCGAAAAAAATGTTAAGGCGGAGAAGAATGATGAAATAACAAATATTTCATTTGCAAAATTTAAAAAAAAAAAATATTTACATAATTTGAAACATAATTGGTAGAAACTACAGGGCATCAATAATTCACAAAAACCATTTTAAAAAATTTTGAAATATCAAATATGTATTTTTGAGAGAATGATTATATTTCCTTTTCAGAAATTTTTTTATTGTAATAAAAATTATTTGGAATTTACTGCATCAATTCAGCGGTTAATCAATAGATTTTTGTCTCTAAAAATATTTTTTTTTAATAAATTAATGCACACATATTAACTTAATATGGGATTTTTGCCTCAAAAAGAGCCATTAAATTTAGCCAATAATTGCCCCGGAGTTTCCTAGTAGAGTATACAATCTATTTGTGTTAAAGGATGCCAACCTGTAGAGATGATTTTCTTTAATAACGTATGTTTTCTATGTTAAGAAGAAATTTTCCTTTACTAACACAGATAAAATACGAAATGGCACATTTAATTTACCTTCCAGAGAGTACACATTTTTTAATCCTATAAAATAAGTTCAATATATATCTCTGTTTAGAGACTATCGAACAGGTTAATAAAAAATAAAAAGAAATTCAGATCAATTGCTAAATAAACAAATATATGTATTAAAAAAAAATGCTTGATTGTAAGTTAGAACGGAAAAAATAAGACTTTATCTCTAAGTTGTAAAAATTTTGTCCTTCTATAAATGGCTTAGCAGGAACTTATTTTCTGAGGGGGATGAAATTAAACTACTCAGTCAGAATAGTTATCTAAATTTCACACGTGAGAAAAAAAATGTTCTTAACTTGGACTAAAAACCGTCAAAAATATTAATTATTTTTTTCATATTTTTAGCCTTAATGAGTTTAAATCGATAGTAATTCACGATCCTTTAATGGTCTGAAATATAAAGGGGGCTTAGAGATTTCTGATCTTTAAGGGGGGGGGGACATATAAGCACCGTTCTCCCCGGCAACGAGGTCTATGGTTCCGTATTTATAACAACACTCTGTAAAAAATACGACTAATCCATAAAAGTTGGCATCCTTGAGATATAGTATTTTTTTCTAATTACATATTTACTAAATATAAAATTTATATTTTTGAACGAAAGAAATTATAAATAACATAACTTTTTATTCTTCTTTCAGTGCAGTATTTTTCTCTGCATAAGAAGGGAGAGTTAAAAGAAATACTGAATTCACGGAATCAGTTCATAAAATATCCATCACATATATACGGCGAACTAGTAGTTACCTTTTTCTCTCTCTCTCTCATCACAATCTTTTCATTTATTTCTTTATCACAATGAAAGCTTTAAATAGTTTTCTCTGTTTAAAAAAAAAGTATTCGTTATCGTACGGAAATAGTTTCGATGCCGAGCACTTTTCGTATGCTGTTGTCGAGTTTCACTAAGTCAGTCACACTTCCGTTGTCAAACATTCTGCTCATGTTCGGACGGGTAGCTGGATCCATTTTGCCTGTCAGCAGAGGACTGCAGGTGGCACTGGCTTCGAATTCGTGACGTGGGAGCGAAAGAATTTCAATATGTCCATACAGACGAAGGAATTCTTCCTTAGTGGTCGAAAGTTTACGCAGGACATCATCAAGGCGGAGATAATTACATTGCCTGAAAGAGAATAATTTTTATTTTTAAATTAACTATACTAATCTAGCTTACAATTTAATTGAAAATTATAATTTCTACGTATTTAAAGTCGTCTCAGTATGCATACACGTAACAATTAATTGTAGTATATCAATTATTTTTCTACAAAATTCTAAAATACTAAATAAAATAGTTATAAGCCTTACAAAATCCCTACCAGAAATAATAATTAAAAAAAATGAATCTAGGCATAGTTAATGAGTATTTACAACATAGAATTTAACAGATTGTTTTCTATTTATGTGCAGTACAAAATATGAGGATATGATCCTTTCTTTTCGTTATTTCTTTCTTTTTGTAATTATCGTAAAGAAATACTATAATTCATCATAACTAATTCAGAAAAACTAGATAACAAAAATATAAAAAAAAGTTTTAAAAAAATTCATTATCCAAATTTGTTCATTAAATTCCAAACATAATTTGGTGAATATTTGTTATTTTTAATTGTTTATTATTTTTACAAGTTTCTATTTTATTTCTTTCTTTCTTTTTTTTTTTTAAACTTAGTGATTTAACTCAGTAACTCAAAAATATGTATGATAAATAAAGTAAAATAAACAACCTTATTAACTTCACATTTAAATAAATTGCTTTATTAAAGAGAAATTTTCATCCTCTAATTAAAACTAAAAACCGTTAAATGTGTAAGTAAAAACCCAGAAGCATTTTCGCAATACGCATAAATGTAGAAAAAAACAAACAAAAGAATAAACTACATTAAAGGTTTGAAAGAGAGTCTTGAATGGAACTTACGCCTTATTATTTGAAGCAGGGAAGAGAAGTCTAAATGTTGGTAGGTGGGGTGAGTCACTCACTTCAAACAGGAAATCGTTGTCGCCTTCACCCTCACCCTCAGAATCGGACGGAACACCATTGAAGATATCATAGCCGCAATCTTCTGGATCTACCAAAAAGAAAAAAACAAAGCGTCTCATTATACCGCGACTCTGTTTCAACGAATAAAAAAAATCAACATAGTTTGCACAAGGTTTTAATAATAAGGCAAAAATAACCTTTAACGGTATCAATATATCAGTATCAACTCGTTAAAAATTAAATCATTATGTTTTATTACTATTGACTGATTTTATTTCATAACCGTCGTTGAACAGCCGACCCAATTGTATGGGTTTACGACTATTAATGCCCAACTAATGTTTTTACTAAAAGCGGGTTCCTATTTCAAATATTTATTCTGTACCTCTCAATTAATATTCACATTTATAATTTGTCTGTTCGCTGGTAGACAAAACGAGGATTATAAAAACAAGAAGAGTTCTAGTTGAACAATCAAGACTGATCAAACACCTGCATCAAGGAAAAGCAACGGTGTAATTTCACACTTGGAATTCAACTTGCAAATTTCTCCTTCAGTTATTAATTAAAAGATTCTATACATTTTTTTCATCATTATTATTACATACTGAACTAGGCTGGGTTAAGAATTTAATTTTATTTTGTAACCGGAGTTGAACAGCTGATCCAGTTCTGAGTTTACGACTATCAATATTTAACTCTGTAGCCTTGTAATTTTGATCCCCAACCCAGAAAACAAGGGAGATCCTGGACCAAGTATTGGGACAAAGGAGGACTTTTTGATGGAACTAATTTGCGCTAAATGGAGAGGGAAACCACGAAAACCTGCCATGGTAGCCTGACGGCAAGAGGACTCAAACCCATGATCCGTCTAAAACTGAGAATAATTTACTTCAGCACTGTGGTCTATGCAAGACGGATGCGGAAATCGTATCGACCAGCCTTCACTTGGATTCGAACCCGGTTCACCTCATTGGAAGGTGAACGCTCTATGAACTCTATCTCTGAGCCATCACGGCTGGTAGGAGTTTTATTGAAGCGCTTATTTTATATTACAGCAATGAAATTTAGTACTCACCAAGGCATTTAGCAGAACCCCAGAATCTCCAAGGCAAGTGAGGCCTGATATCCAATTCGCCGCTGATGTCAGCAAAAAATCCTGAAAGCAGACATCAATCTTTGTGAGGCGAATTAACCATTGTTTAAAATCGGTCACTCAAAAAATGACATGGAATGTCTGATGGTAGTTATTCAGAAGTAAAAATAGATTACCTTGCAAGAACTCAGCCATCATTGCAGATCGAGCCAGTTTCATTGGTTCCAGACCAGAATAAGTGGCAATTGTAGGATCGGCACCATACGATAGCAACAATCTCACTATTTCAACATGATCATTCTCAACAGCATCATGTAAAGGCCTGCAATTAAAATTATTATAACAATTAGGAATGATATTCAGATTACTTTTTGAAATTTCTATTGTTGACAGAGGCATGCAAAGACAACAGCCTCCCTCTGAAGGACCGACTAAGGATATTAAAATTTTAAATCTTTAATATACTGTTATTTTAATCAATAAAAATCTTCAACTGATAAACGATTGACACATTAAAAAAAAAAAATTTTTTTTGTTGAAGTATAGTATTTGATTTTCAAATAAATTTAATGCTAGAGTTTTAGGAAATTAAAATACTAAAGGAAAGATCACACATAAAATTTAAGTGTTCAAACTGTAGAAAAATAAATTAGGAATATTTTGTTGGAAATGATTTCTTTTTTTCAATAAAATAAATTCTGTTTATATACATAAAAAATTAATTTAATATAAGGGTTTAGAGTTTAACAAGCATATATCTTTTACAAGTAATTTAAAAATAAAATATCAGAATTGGGTACTTGCACTTCAAGCGAAATGGAGTGTTAAAGTTGAGCTAAGTTTCACTGAATAAGTTAGAATATTAATTAACGTGAAGTTAATTAAATATAGCGCCGTATCGCACATAGAATTTATTAAAATATAATTCTTTCTCGTCTATTTCTTTTACTTAACTTTTTTATTATTTGTTTATTATTTACACTTATCATTTGTTTATGTATTTTACTGTAACGGTGATGTATTTTTGTTTTGTGTACCTGGCAACTCCGATGCCTAGTTAGTTAGTTTATGTTCTATATGGCTTCTTGCCTGTCTTTGTATTTGCTTTTAATTGAGACACTTAAAATAGTAAGTTTTAAGGAGGACTTAACTGTTCTATTCAAGTAACTTAGTTAATTATTGCTTTTAATTTAATACACTTATATATAGACAAAGTTTTACTATTGAGCGGCGAAAGTGGTTTGGCTTACCTAATGCCACCAGCAGCACTTGCATTTACATCTGCACCATATTGTAAAAGAGCTCTTGCAATATCCAAATGCCCTCTGGAGCAACATTCATGGAGTGGAGTATAACCTGCATTATCACGGGCATTTACACTAACACATTTTGTCTGCAAGCAATAAGCAACTGCTTCCTGTAATAACGGAATAAATAAAAATGGAAATTAAAACTAAAACTTATCTTAATTGTATATAAACATGCATTAACCGGATCTGATTTTGAATAAATCATACTATTATTAATAATTTTTGAATTCATTGACATTTAAAATGTTTATGTTTGTTTAAACTTTCAGAAATTTTTTAAACGAAGATAGCTTACCGGATAGCCTAATCTTGCTGCTCGATGCAAAGGAGTTTCACCCAAAGCTTTGTTAACCATTAAACGCTTCATTTCAGCAGGGATAGGAATAGAGCAATTGGAATCTTTTGACTAAAAAATTAAAGGAAAGAAAATTAGGATGAGCTTGAATTATAAAAATTAGTTTTAAAAAAAAATTATATTAAAGTTTAAATAAAAATTAAAAACAAGTTATGTTTCTTTTTTAAAAAATGGCAGGCAACTCCTATTCTTTTAAGAACTCCATAAAGGGGGAAAAACGCTATGCTACAAAAGAACAACTTTAAGGAATATAATCTTGGATGATTCTTTTGAGGGATTAAAAAAGAATTGAAACAAATCTTAAAAATAAAACCACGATAAGTAATCACCAAATAAAAAATAACTCATCTGCCTTAGTAACAATAAAAGCTGGAAAGCTCATTTTTAATAACAATTGCAAATGAAAATTTCGAAAACGTAGATATTTTTCGTCAAAAGTATCGTCTGCTAGAAAATAAATAGAAGTTCAAAGACTAAGTAAAAATCGTTTGCTTTACAATAAACCACTGGCATATGGGAGAAATAAAGACAACTCAACTTGTTACTCAAATGGAATTAAAAAATGTATTAATTTTATAATTTCTACCAAGTTTATTATTTTTTTAAAAAAAAGACTTATTAAGTAATATTTAAAAACTTTTTCATGCTAACTTATACATTATTTGACTTTAGAATACTGTTAGAAGCCGGATAGATAATTATAAACGATGGAGAAGCCGGTAACTAATTCACATCTGACTTATGCATCTCATAAAATTCAACAGTTCATTACATAGAGATGGAATTGTTTTGAAGTTAAAAATGTTTGAACTTAAACCTAGAGTAAAGTAAGTTTTTTTCTAAACCTTTATTATATTTATTATAGAAGTTTCATTGTTAAAACTCGCAAAAAAGTATTAATAAATAACTTCTAAGAGTTTTATTTAATAGGTAATTTTTATATTCATTTTCCCTATTAAAAAAAGGGTAAGTTTTTATAGTTCTAAAATTTTGCAAACATTTTAAACTATTTAAGTAAAGTTGTATAGTTTTTTTTATAGGTAATAACCTATTTCTATTTTGTAATTTTCTTTACATTTTTGAAAAAAGCAAGCCTAACTTGAAATTTAGATACATATTCTTGAAATAATTAAGTTTCTCATGAATATTAATCTGAAAACTAAATTACATTTGTGCTATCATCTTATAAATGATGCTTTCACTTTAAGTCAAGTAATTAAGAATTTTCACTTGTTAAGATAACAATGGTAATTCAAAACTGGCTTACCATTTTTTGAAGGATATTAGCTCTTAATTATTTAAAAATTTTCAATTTACATTACACCTGATTATTCTAGATTTTCCCATTTACATTGCACTTAATAATTTAAAATGTTCTAATTTTCATTGCATGCAATTATTTATAATGTTTCCATTTACATTGTACCTAATGATTTTTAGATTTTTTTTCTTCCCATTTACAATGTACCTGATTATTTTAAAATTGCACTTAATAGTTTAAATTCTTCCATTTAAATTGCACGTAATTAAAATTCTTATTTAGATTTTTCCATTTACATTGCACTTATTTTAGAACTTTCTATAAAAAGCACACTTGCCTTAGTCTGTATTTCATCTTCAGTCAATATCTTTCCCTTCTCTTCCTTCACTTTGGCACGTCGAATTTTATACACCACTTTACCATTCTTTTTCTTTCGCTGCAATCTCAGGACACCGCCAATGCTCTTTCTTTTGATTGCGTACCATTTGTGAATGTAGCGTCTGTGGGCCCATCGCAGAGTCAGTTGAGACAATAACTTTCGAGCATACCTCACTGCAAGTTGTTTCTCAATCATTTCTCTATCAGGTGCAACATTTCCGGTCATTAAAGGCCTCCTCTGCTGGTATATTCTGGCCAAAAGTTTCCTCCTCAGCTTCCTTCGGGCCCGGATTGCACTCAATCGATCGGTTATCGGCTGTTCGACGATTTGATTTACATGTTGCAAATTGCGATTTGGAAGAAAGGCTGCTACTTTTGGGGCCCAAGGATGTTCGATAGGTTTTGACGGTGACTTTGCTTGCACTGAAAAAAGATAGGAAAAAAAGGGTTATTTTGAGCAATTACAACCACATTTGCAAAATTTCAAAATAATAAATCAATAAAAATTATAATGATTTTTTTTTGTCTATATTGTGCTTTTAGCAGAAAAAACATTTATTACATTTACAGAAATAATTAAATTAGTAAAAGTTAATATATAAGACATTGTTGATAAACATGAAATATATTAACTTTTGATCGCATTTAACTAAAAAATTTAGCAACTATAAACTTGTAATTCTTGCGGGTAGCAACCGTAATTCATTTTCCTTAGAAATGCCGAAAATGTTGCTCAGTAAAATTGGTTATTAGTCTGTTAAAAAGAACGAAACATGTTCACTTACCTAAAGCTGGTGTTTTAGAAATATCACAAGGAGCTGGCACATTCATGTGCTTAGACAACATTCCACGCCAGGGACTTTTATCCTCTGTTTTAATCTGAAAAGAAATAAAATCTTGTTAGTAAAAATAAAACTATTCAAACGTACTTCAAGATAGTGTTTTGATAACTTGTTTAACATATTATTATGAAGAAAATGTATATAATAATCAATTAGAGAACTGATTAAGTATGCCAAAATTAAAATTCGCTAGATATATTTTCATGGCTCGAATTATATTCTGCATTATAATTAAATCAAACCATTCCAATGCTTACGTTGTGAACTCGAGTCGATAATAAATACAAATTGCAGTTGGTTGTAGAACTCTCGAAGTATAAAGGTGCATGAATTATAACTATGGTTAAAAACATAATCAACTTTTTACCCTTAGAATTTATTTTTCAGCGGAAACTATCCGTGTTATATTACAATTGTTTCTATTATGGCATACTAATATTTGACAGTACGCCTTCAATACAGTTACGCCAATATGTGTACGCCTAGGTTATATTAATTCAATTGTTAATATTTTAGTTTGAGGGTATTATGAATTTTTATTCTTGAAAGAATTATTTTTAAGTTAATAAGATTCAAAGTAAAGGTATAAAATTTATGAATCTTATTCATAATTCTATAACTCCAAGCACATAACATGAAATCAATCATATTTCTTAAAAGACTTACCTGACCACTGAAATTAAGAGGAGGATCAGGAATAAAGGTGTAAGGGCATTCTGGTGCTTCGTTCGCTTCATTGGCATACAAAGCAGGCTAGAAGAGAAGAAAAAAACATTAGTACATTGATTTATAATATGCAACACATTTTATTCCCTATAGAATACCTATTAATATTAAGCGTGTATTATTTGAAGAGATCAGTGCAAGCTTATGTTATGTGGTGAGTTGGAAAATATCCTTTTTAAAATACACTGAAACCTCAGTTTCTAAGTGTGCTATGTCTTTAAAATTATAAAACTTAAAATATAGTTTAAAATATTTCATTAAACCTAAAAAATTGAAGAAAAAAAAAATGTTCAATAATGCTCTTCATGTCTGAAGTCCCGGGTAAGCTCGAATCTTGTCGGCTTGTCATGTGATAGCTATTTCAAACAACGATTTGACATAAAAAGACTAGTATGAGGTATTTTATGTAACATATAGTACTAACTTCCTTTGGGGACTAATTAATCTACCATCACGAACTCATCGCTTCGCAGTCCCATATTGATCGCGCTACATTCAACAGCACTGTCTTAAATGCTTTGTTCTCCATTATTGATTAATCTTACACAATAGATTAAGAAAAAAAAGTATGCATTTTCATTGCGAATCGACAGAGGACGTTTAAATCGTGTTTAGAAATCTACAAAACTTTAAAAAAAAGAAGAAAAAAATTCTTTATCTCTCCATATTTCAATAATTTACAACGAGAACAGGTAACATGAGAGTCAGAATTAAAATTTAGAATCAGTAACAACACACAAGACCAGAAAACTTAAATTTTCAGTTAGTAACCGGTAGACTCTAAAAACTTTTTCTCGAACGAAATGAGTCAGTGACCGATATCAAAAGGTCCTTTTCATTTAAAAGCCACTTTTTGCAAACTTATTTGTTCTTGTTGTTGTTTGAATTAAATTATATATATATACTTTAAAAAAAATCATGTTAGAAATAATTTACGGTCATAAAAAGTTAATTCAACAATAAAAATAGTATAAATATGTGACAAAATTTAGTTAAGCACACTGAATTTAGTTAGGCATACAGAAATTGAAAATATTTGTGGCGGTGAATTACATTCAGTGTTTACATGACAACTGCGAAATATGCGAATTGTTTAAGAATTTTCCTTTCACGTGAATTTTTCCATCACAAATCGATTATGCTTTTTTTAGAGTCTTTCTAAATTGATGTACTTTCATATCATTTAATGATTCTCTAAAAAAAAAAGGACCGTTTATTTATTTAATTATAGTCGCCACCTATTTTTTGTTCACTCGCCACATGGCGAGTAGTTATTTTCAGGTCTGCAACACACCATTGCATTTCTTCATAAGTTCCATTGATATACACATTATAGACTTTAATTTTATTATTTCATTTGCACATCTATTTGCAATTAGAAACATGTATGTAAATCTGCAGTGGGTCGCAGGACCAGGGAAAAAAACAACATTTTCCTTCGTTCAATGGATATTTCATTGAAAAAGAAAGTTGGTAAATTTTTGCTGCAGTACACAAAATCAAACAATATGCATTTTGTCTCGGATTTCCATTCCTTTAAAATGTCATTTTATTTTCTCAGCTATTTCTACCCGTATAGCACAGACCTAATTTGTGCTTTAAAAAAAAAAAAGAAAGAAAAAAAGTGAGAGAGAAGCGTCCGTTAAAAGATTCTGCCGAAGTATTCGGAAACAATTACGTGTAGCGCGGCTTTACCTCTGTGGAAAACCTCGCTCTCGTTATGTGCGTTTTGAGTTCTTTCTTATTTCTTTTCCCTTTTTTTTTAAAGATATTCTTTTTTATCTCTAGTCGTCATTTATTATTTATTTTATCGCTTCACTTTTATCTAGCGCTGCAAGTCCGCCGCTTTTTGAAACGCCCAAGAACGAATTTGCCGTCATTTATAAGGGACCACCTACGAATTAAAATAGACATTGTACCACAGGAATTAAGAACCTATTTAATCTTATTTCAGGCCATGATAACGAAGCACTAGTTTGAAAGATTCATTCATTTATCCCATGCTTATTATTCAAAAATTCATATCTAATCTCGATTTATTTAGTTTCATATTTTAGTCCGGAAATACTGAATATTCTGGAAACATTTAAAATTTTAAAAACTGCCAATATGATAGTTGACCATTACGTCGGTTGAACTATCATAGTAAAATGAGGAAATGTGAAGGAAAAAAAAACGTAGAATGAAAGCCATATATAGGGTCGAGATTGCGATTAACGAGATTGCGATACAATTGAAATAAAAATTTCCTAGGTTAGCACTTCGAAAGGGTTAAAAATGAAATTAAAACCCATCATATACCGTGAGTTGCACAAAAATCATTTTTATTACGTTCTATACACATTTACAAGTCAAATCTAAATAATTGTTATAGACAGAGCAGGCAAAATAGAACGAGCCTGGAAAATATAGATATAAGATTTATGTTCCAATTCAGTTTTATTTTGTCCACACTGTACATGCAATGTACGTTGACTATCTATATTAGTACAGTACTTAAATTAATAGATATTTAATGATAATAATCAGGGCCCACGTTAAGCATTCGCCACCTCGCCAAATGTGATAAAGTCGTAAATTTAGCGAATAAAATTGAGTTTTGGCAAATGATTTTTTCCACTGGAAAGAAAAATATATATTTAATTCGATCTCAAAATTACGTCAAAATGAATTCTTCTAAACAAATCAGTATTCGACTACAGTAATTTTTGGATGATGAGCCGCATAACCAATTAAAACTAGGTCCAAATAATATAAGCCTGAAATAAACTACCGTAAAATAGTTTTCTATGAAGGAAAAAAAAAACGAATCATAAAAATTGTTAAGATTTGCATTAGGCGAAGACTTTCGCAAATTGGCGAATACTTTTTAAAATTTGGCTGATTTACTGGCTAATAATTTGAAATCCTTAGCTCAGGTCCTGATAATAGTTAGTGGTTCTTACAAGGACACGGAGTTGAACATTGGTAGTCGTAAACTCAGAATAGGGTCGGCTGTTCAACGACGGTTATAAAATAAAATAGTTAGTGGTTAACTATTAAATCATATAAAGCCCGAATATGAGTACGTGAAGCTTGGTAAATTATATTTGTAAAAAGACCATTTATTCATTTTATACTTTTCGACAAAAAAATATTTAACATAAAAAAAAATAGAAGGAAGACTAAATGTTAAGGAATTCCACGGATTTAGAAAACAAATAAAATACGACCTATAAATTACACTTTCCTACTCTACGACATTCTCCCTATGAAGGAAAACGGAAAAAAGATCCGATGCGTAGTTGCGAGAGGAGGTGTGTGAGGGGGAGTAGCGGGAAGTGAAGTGGCACGTCGTGTGGGTGACGAGGGCGAAGGAGAGAAGGGGGAGAGACCTCTCCAGACACCGATGCCTGCAGTCGCGAGTGGGGGGATGAAGAGGGGGGTGAACCGAACGAAAGATCGATCACTATAGTCCATTCCACCTTAAGTTGGCACTGGAGAGAAAGGTAGGAAATGTAATACTCCGCCTTTGAAAAGTAGTTCTTCGCTATTTTGGAATTAATTGCAGTTTAAATGCGCGTACAAATATAAATAAATGTTGCATAGTAAGAAAAGTATGTCTTGAAACATTCATTAGAAGTTTTTCATGTTTAAATGTATTTAACTTATAAATACCTTCTCAGTAAAGCGAATGTACANATTCAGTAAGTCTGTGTTGGAATGTTCCAAGATTTCTTCTCTCTTTATTTTTTAAGCCCAAATGAAATTACGAGTTTTCGAAGTGCAGGAAAAAGGAGTTAATAGTTATGAAAATGTCCCATTTTTATATTATATTTAATAAAAGTAACTATAAAAGAAGATCCAAACTATTTAGGTTCGCCTTGATTAAATGATCCGTTATATTTGCTGTTTAAATATGTTACTCTTTTTAAAAAATGTTTTATAACAGAACGTTCTTTTGAAACGTATTGTGTTATTTAAACTTGTTGAAGTTATTAATTTTTATAAAAGAAACATAACATAAATTAAAACCATGGAACATTTGACATGAAGAAAACAATATCTGCTTTGTTAAAAGCAGAGACAATCGTTTTCCATCAATTTATTTATTTTTAAACCAATTCTTTTATTTATTTATTTTTAATCAATTTATTTATTTTTATTATATTTTATACTTATAAAGTATAATAATGTTTGTAGTTAAAGATATTTTCAGTCTAATTACAATTTATAACTCATTTGCATTTACTTTTAATTAATTTAAGAAACAGTAATTTTAGAAAAATGTTCCAGTTTATGAATGAACATTTTTTGCAAACATATTTTATTCAAATATTAAAAATTCCCCTTCAGTTTAATTAACCCTAGATTTAAAAGAACAGAACAATGCGTCATCAAAACATCTGGGAAATAATAAAGTACTTATTATATTGGAATAGGTATAATATAAACAGTTACTTTTTTTTAAAAAAAAAAAGTTATTAAAAAATCGCAGACGATGCGCCTTTACTGACAAGCCCAATTCGCCACATTCGTATATGTATTGCTCAAAAATCACGATTATCCATTGTTGGAACGAAGGCTCCTAAGTCGTTAATTATTGATAATCGTGACCAAATAAATGCACTGCACGGACGCATTTAAGGGAAGCAAGGCACTTCCGACACGTTTACCTTCCTAATGCCCATCCTAAGGATTTACGTTTAAGGATTTGCCTAAGAGCACAATAATCGCCGGATTCACGTCCGGAATTGGTACGTCGCACGGAAGATAACAAGCAATTAACACTCAGTTTAGGCGTCCAAACAACAGCTTGGAAATGCTACGGCTGATTTAATACTTAATGCGCAACGAATTCAGAGATATGGAAGAAGACTGGCAGCAGAATTTTAAAGCACTTTTAAAAGATAATTAGAATTATAAGTTTTTATTTTTAATAATAAAAAAATAATACCAAGTAAACGAAGCCTGCAACCACTGAATGATATCCAGTGAACTTGATAAGTTAATTTTATGAAACTCAATTACTTGTTTGTGTATTTTGCATTCCAATATCAATCCAAGGCGATAAGAAATGTCACGCAATCTTAAATTAATTTAAAATACAATTTTTAGAAAAGTTATAAGCATCTGAAATTTTTATTACATTTATTTTGACTTCACTGTTTAGAGTGAAAAAGATATGAATGCTGTAATGATAATTGAGAAGAATCATCATTTAGGCATTCATGTTCTTAAGTGTGTCAAATATCATCAGTTACTATATTTCTTTTCCTTTCTGTGCTAAGTTTACTGAATATAGCTAGTTCGATTTGCTTTACATATCCACGTGTATGCGACTGATTTGTATGTCACCAGTTTCTATCAATAAGCAAAAATAAATAAATTTGTTATGAAATATAATTAATGAGTATATTAATGAGTAATTATGAGTAGCTAGAAAAGGTTTAATTACAGTGACATGAAATTCGGAGTTCCGTTGTTGTACGAACTTTATTTTCGTATGTGAAAAATGCTTTTAGACCAGATGTGAACACGCTGTTATATTTACCTATGTATACTTTTTCCACAATATGTAATGATTACAATTATTTAGAATATATATTTTCTTACTTAAAAAACCCAAACAAACAGGTATTGAAGAAAAAAAACATGGTCAACTATACCATGTAAGGGTAAATCTGGTTTGCAGCCTATATGGCATAGGTGAAATAGTATGCTACCGTTGGTATATCAGAAAAAGAGTATCTTTTGATGGCCTATCATTCGGCTATTATCCAGTTATTTATTATTTACATAAAAAATACCAAATAGTTTTAACAATAAGTTTTTCCAAAATTCTAGCATTAAACATTTAGTTTGAATAGTGAGAGAAAGACATTTTTAATAATGCTTACTCAAGTATTGAGTGAAATACGCCAACTATCAATCTAAGTTTACAGTGGTTAGATAGAATAAACAACAAGAGTGTTTCTGATAAAAACAAGTTCATTTATTTTTTTTAATTATGCAATAATTATTTTTTTAATGAATGCATGGTACATTATAAATTTTTGGAGCATGTTTGTTTCTTAAAATATCTTTTTACGAGATTTTATAAATTGCGGTTCCTTTTGACATTATCTTAAGTGCTGTCATGTGAGAGGGTAAAGAAAAAAAAAGAGAGAGTTGGCGATAGACACATTCAGATTGAGATGCGCCGATAATTTTCTTTCACCAAAAACAAAAAAAGTAGATAATCAGCAATTTGCCGCATCCGGATTTTACACAGTCAAAACAATTTTCAACTTAGTTTTATAATTTTTTTTCTTTCAAATCACAATGGGTAAGCTTCACGCAAAGCGTTAACAAAAGGATAATGAAGCATATTCAAGGAAAAAAGTCTCAAGTTGTTTGAATAGAAGAAATTTTATTTTCATTTTCTAAAAAAAATAGATGATATTAATGACGAACTAATGCAGTGCCATATTTTAAGTCTGAGAATTCTTTCATAAAAAAATGTAAGACAATAAATAAAGAGTTCTCGAAAATATTTTTACAAGAATGAATTCATAACTGGCTGATATGAAAATTTTAAGGTTGTGAATTTTATACTAAAAGAGCAAGCAAAGAGCTCCAAAAATATTTATGATATAAAATCATAACCGGTATTCTTTCACAGCAATTCAAACTAAAAGATTCTTAATGTCATAAAAACCTTATAAATGGATACTTCGCAAAAAGACATGCTACATGAAAAATAATTTTTTTAATGTGCTATTTATCTAAGAAAAGACTAAACATGTTTTCACTGGATCGTAAGGCATTTTATTTCTAATAATTCCCTTAATCATTTTTTAAGCACCCAATCGCTTTACTTAATCAACAACTGTTATTTATAAAGCAGATTGTTAGGCAACGTATGCACATTAGCTAACGATCTTTTCAGAAGTTAAGCTTGTTTCATTGTCCTATTCGACAAAATCCAATTAACAAAAAAATTCCAAAACGACATTTTATCTAATCGATCAAACATAAACCAACTTTTAAGATGTCTCACCGCCTGAACAAATACGCCTAATCAATGCTATGAAGTAAAAATCCTGAAATGAATGGGAAGACGTGCTACACACCTGTCTCGTCACCGTCGGGAATTCGAAAACAGCCGTTGCCTCTCTCTTTATCTGCTGTCAGAAAATCGAAAAGGCAGACACGCCCGTCGCAGGCTGCCCCCAAGTAAAATTATTACATTTTTATTTTATTCTTCTATCCCCCTCCGCGTGGAGGGGGGGGGAGGTTGTAAGTAGGTGATAGCTCTGGAAGAGAGAAAATATAAATCAGATTAGGGCTTGCATCCTTTAAATCCTCTCTGATCACGGCAAAGAAAGAATTTCTAGATTAACACTATTTCGTTTTCCGAGTGCTTCGTTTTCCTGTTCGCTGACTTCCAGATGCATTTTTCATTGGTGGCGCACATAAACCTCCCAATTAATCTGATTTTGACATCAAGCGGTGAATTTCCATAATCGCAACTGATTTTTCCGACTATTCGAAGCGATGATTTCAAAAGGCACACTTACGCGGCGGCGAGATTGGATTTTACGAATATCAAAGATAAGGAAAATAAAACTTTCATCATTCAGACTGAAATTCAACTAAAATGATTTATAACTGGAAAAGTATGGAATTAATATCAATGCATCAGATTGATATATAGCTTTAAAGAGCTATCTACCATGTTCATGAATTAAAGAAAGTTCATTTTGTGATTCGTAAAAATTTTATTAATTCTGGCATAAGGTTTGTAGCGCTTAATTATTATTTTATACTTTAAAGCCTTGAGAATTTATATCACATGCAGTTTAAATCTATGATATGGAAATTGAGAAAATTTTTAATCGATACACTTTTATTATCTTCGAATTCAAAATAAGAAGCATTAAAAAAAATCAGGTAATTGGGGTAAAAGACTCATAGCTGGTCATCCAAAAATAATTATTTGATACTGAAAACTTAAAACATACAATAAAGTATACATTCTTTTGAGTTTCAGCATTATTCAATACTTTGTTTTAGTTAATGATCTCAAATACTAATGATAAATATTTTTGAAAATTATAAAATTTACTAATATTTGATATATTTATCAATAATAGAACTACATAATTTATTATCCCTCTCAATAATTTGATATTAAGGATTTAATTAATAATTATCAATTAAATGATTTTTATCATTTCACACGAAGATTTCTAGTTTATATGTACCCGTGAATTAATTTATTCTTATTGTATTGCAATATTATGACAAATTTCAAGTAGCATAGCTCTTGGGAAAAAATAATGGATAATACAGACTGGCATGTAAAACTGAAAAGAAATGATACAGTATTCCTAGATTCTCTTGACTGACATTCGAATTAATGAATGTGAAAATATTATCCGATTAACATGCCTGTGCATGACTAAAACAGTTTCCAGCATTGATTTTTGATTAGTTAACCTTCTTAAGAAAATGAATGTAGAGAAAAAGGGGGAAAACATATAAGAAAATACAGTAGGTTGTTAGCACGAGTCTTCGTAATGTTGCTTAAATTAATAATTCAAAATTTAGGCTTCTTTATAAAAATAAAGAAATAAACAGAAGAAGATATTAATGTTTGCAGCCAGAAAACCATTTGACCCAAAACAATGAAATTTGGTTATCCTGGGATATAAAATAGATAATGTCAATTTTTTATTACAATTTTAACAATTTACGTAAAGGAGTGCAAATTAAAATTAAGGAGTAAAAAAAAGCCTCTTACCTGAAAGGAATATCTGGGCACAGGCATATTGAATTCAGGCGACAAAATTCGTTTTTTACTAGCTCCATTTTCTTCATTGTTCAGCACAGGACTTGGCCTCTTTTTGTGTTTAGAAGAGGAACAATTTAAGGACTCCGTTTTAACTTCAGATTTAAAATTTGTGATCACAGTTGTTGGACAAGGTATAGTGGTATGTCCTTCTCCAGTCGTTTTAGGCAAATTGTCCAAGCCATTGTTCGTTAAATTCATTTGACGATTCAGGTGTGGATAACGATAATCAATACCAAACAGGGGTAAGTTTGTGGAAGAAGTAATCACATTACCAATAGGTTCTTGAAGTGTAGCAGGTGGTAAAGATGTTAAGGGTTCAGTTCCAGGGGCGGATCTAATGAGCAGAGATTGAAGAACATTTGCAGTATCAGCATACTCAGTCTCCCGTTTGACATTCACATGAGAGTTAAGTTGCTTAATTTTATTTGGTCTTTGTATGTTGGCAACAGAAGCGGAGGAGGTGGTTGTAACTGAACTTGTAGTAACGGGTTGAGGATGAGGTGCGATAGTTACATTGGGATTGGCGTGAGGTATCCAATCGTTGTGATTTTGCAAATTCATTTGATGCTGAGCGGGACGATAATGACTAGAAAACTGAGTGGCATTTGGTGAAACATGTGACGTTGGTAAATGAGGAATTGGCTTGGAAGGTATTGGCTTTGGAAAAGCAATGGGAACTTCGCCATTGACAAAGCCTATAGGAACACCATTATATTTTGAAGATGGCTGGGGTTTCTTGGGTGATTTAACGGAAGTTTTGTTAATCGAAGATTCGATGGGTTTGTTTTCAGATTGATGCTTATAGGAAGGCATTGTCATGGGTATATTAGGATAAAGGGAGGACGGTACTCTCATTGATGCTGGAATCTCTTGTGATATGTAGGGGGATTTGATTATACTTGATGTTGATAAATCAGTTCCATTCGAAACTGCTATCAGAGGTGGTGGGCCTTGAGGACTACTAACTGAAGAAGGAATGTCAGGAGATTGATCTGTCGTTGCACTTAGGTCAGAAGGTCTCACAGCTTCAAGAAGTGGTGGCATTTTTGTCACCGGAATCGATCCACCTTCGCATCGAGTGGGGACAATTGGTGTAATCGATGTGACTGTGGTAAGCGAGTCATTTCCATTCACAGCTGGATTGCATGTAGTAAATTTGGGAACTGCTGAAAAAGATGTTTTATGCACGTTAAAGTTGAGTTCAGCCGGATCTCTTTGATAATACCGGCTGGTATAATCTTCATTTAGAAACACAGAAATTTTCTCATTACTTTTTTTTGAATTCTCGGTTTTAATAGGTTGTGAGTTTATTTTCGGAGCGTCGCATTTTGATACTGGATAAGAATTAGAATTGTTATTTTGATTATCTTTCAGAATATCTTTTATACTACCAGACGATCTATGCTCTTTGGAAGAATGTAAAGATGTATCTCTGTTTTCTTTCTTTTTTGGAACAGAAAAAGCAGTTTTACCTCCATTCGATACAGATGGTAGTCCGGCATTCCAAATGGATGGAGCACGTAGAGCTGAATTATGTTTATCTCGAGATGAGCTAACTGTTGTGGGTTCAGTAGATGTTTGAGTTGTACAAAGGCTGGAAACGGACAATCTTAACTCACTGCAAGTAGAAACGGCGGTGGTTGTAGCGGCAGTCGTTGTTGCAGTAGGTCGATGAAGAAAGTTAAGTCCAGTTTGTGGGAAATCACAAACTTTGCCTGTTGCTGCAGATGTCGGGTCTTTGGTTGCGCAACCCATTGGACTCCTGGCGCAAAGAGCAGATTGAGATGGACAACAAGCACATGGAACTGGCGTTTGCCCCAAACCACTTAATGCACCAGAAGCACAACATGCATTGCTGCACTTTCCTGTAGCTTGATGCTGCTGTAAGTGTTGTTCCCTGAGCCGCTGTAATTGCTCTGCATACCTAGCGGCTTCTAATTGCGATGCTCCTGCAACACCGTTTAAAAAACTTTTTTCTGCTGCTGTTGTACTGACGGGATGGCGAAGCGAGGTGAATGCGCCTTTGTCTTCCGTAAATAAAGAAAACGCAGGAAGCACCATAGGTGTTGGTAGAGCTGGTGTGTATAGTCCTCTTGTCGCAGCGAGAGCAGCAGCAGCTTCTCTCTGAGTAAGCCCATTTCTTAAATGTAATGGAAGTGCCGCTGGATCCATATAGGCGGCCGCAGCAGCTGCCACGGCGGCTTGCTGTTGAGCTACAGCGGAATTACGAGCAGCGTAAAAAGCCTGCTGTTGTTGTTCCAGACGCTCACGCTGTTGAAGAAAACTGCTCATCAGCTGATGCCCAGCTAGCGACGTAGGAACAGCAACTCCCGTTGTTCTGTCAAAACAAAATGGTGGTGCAAGACCTGGTATAACAGCACCCGCTTCCGCACCATAACCTAAACGATAAAGCGAAGGGTCTAATAGTTGCCTACCCATCGCAGATAAGGAATGGGAAGCAGCAAGGCTTGCGAGTTTCCTGTGTTCCAACATTAGTAAATCGTCAGCATCAGCTCCTCCAGCGGTTGCTTCAGATGACGGTCGAATGGTTTTGACAGATAGGTCAAGAGGGTTTTCTCGACCCACAGGTACTTCCAATGAATTGGCCCGAGGATCAAAAGGCCTTACTGGGGTAAATAAAGGTGGGTAGTACATCTCAGTGTGAAGGGGAGGGTATCTTCATTCACGCATTTCGTCATTGAAACGGTATCTGAAAAAGACAAAACAAAAACAATTTAATATAATTACAATACATCGATATATATTTGAAGACAATTTTTAATCAATAATAAAGGAATTTCCTAGTCAAGTATCAAAAAAACTCGCTTTGTGAATAACTTATGAAGAAAAATTAATCCGTATATGAATAGATCGGAGATTATAACCGCGGAGAGTTGCCTTAATTAAATGAACGACAATTGAACTCTAATTTAAGATTTGTCCGCTTCTATGAACTTGTACAGGCTTTTTAGCGAGATAGTGAAAAGCAGCAAATCATAAAAATTTATAAACAAAAAAATGGTGACAAATTTCTAATTATCTGTATTAACTTTCATCCATCAGTTCAACTTAACACAGTCATAAATGGAAATATTGATCTTCGTTCATCATTCATGCCTAAAATATTTCTTAAGGTATAAATATTTTGCTTCCTTTCACTGCGAAATTATTTACTTACTTTAGAAAAATGAGGAAAGTTTGTCAAAATGTTTTCGTTCTTTCAAGAAATTCTGAAACACGCAAAAAAGGACTCAAAATTGCATTATATAAATATGTCCACGTCCTTGTAGAACGGCTATTCCACGTTGTGTTATAAACTTACATAAATTTAATGACTTTAAGTTTATTATGTAAGCTGTTCATTATGTTTTTTTTTTTTTTTTTTNTTTTTTTTTTTTTTTTTTTTTTTTTTTTTTTTTTTTTTTTTTTTTTTTTTTTTTTTGCAAATTACGGTTTTTGTTTCAAAATGTTAATTTACAGAATAAAATTAATTGTCATTTAAAAAAATGGTTATAATTTTGGCCAGTGAAAGTTACCTATTTTTGAAAATGTCGACAGAACATTTGTAATTATTAGGTCTAATTCTCATTAGGTATAATTCTCATGAGGAGGTATAATTCTCATGAGCTCATCATTATTTATGTGGACTCTATAAATAATATTTGTCAACACGGTAGACAAAGCTGAGAACAGTTTACGAACCACCTCAGACATTGCAAGGATCCAAAGTCCATTAAAAAGAGCACTCTCTATTCATCCAGCTATTTTGGTCAACCTTAAATAAACGCTACAACAGTGAATGAAAATCAATTAAACATTTTAAGAAAACTATAGACTAATTTTCCGAATTATTTCGTTCCAATAAAAATGGTAAACTACTGAGCCGGTCATCTTAGGAACATTTCGTTTCAAAGAACTGTGCAAAAATAAAAAGACAAACTTGGATACAAATCTCACCGCAACCTTATTTTTTAGTGTTGAAATCATCGAACTTAACTACATACAGTAAAATAGAAACCACAAAAGTAAAAGTAAAAAGCACAACCGGACCTTAGAAATCACAAAGCTAAGATGTCTATTTAAATTCCTAACGGTCCATTTCAGCAAAAAAGATCATGTACGGAATAAGACGATTTTTATGTATGCTTTATGACAATTTAACTGCTTAGTTACTTTTCCTTGCATTTGTTACTGGAAATATCTACTTCTAGAAAATAATATCTATTTTTGAAAAAACAGTATTTTTTATTTATTTATTTTACATTTTTACTGCAACAGTATAATAATGTAAAATAGGAAAGTCTACTCCACAAGTCCAAAAGAAGAAGAAAAACCAGTTAATGGGCAATTAGCGATCTACAAGTGTACCTTACACTGCCTTTCCTAGATGATGATGTGAGGGGGGTTGGATGAAAGAAGACATACCCTGCACAAGGTGGAAAATGGAAGGCTGCAGAGCTTTATTATCTCACACCACACGTCCTTCGATTTCTCCCCACAGCCTAGAAATAGATTCGTTTCATCACATATCCGCGAGGAAGAAAGAAAAAAGGTGGAGAGAAGAAAAATAAAGAAGAAAAGAACAAATGAAGCTTCGGACGAAGTTGTCGGCTTCCTTTCCCTTTCTTTTTTGCATAATTTATAACCAGTCTGCGAAATAAAAATAAGAGACAACGCCTGGTTTATCCAAGTCTCTGATGAGAGAAGTGTTTTCTACATTTTTACGCGACGAGTTTTTTTTCCCCGCCTTCGCTTTCCTTTTGGCGATTTATTTTATTTATTTATCGCTATCTGGGCTTCGGCCCATCATGACAATCCAATTCCTTCACCTGACGGCCTCACGCATGGTCGGTGGAGTGGGTTCCTTCATAGCTTTGGTTTCACAATTGCATTTCTTTCTTTGTATTTTTTTTTTCCTTTTTGTTTTTTTCTGATTTACCAGAAAGCATTATGAAAGAGGTTAGTATTACCTAAAAAGTTCTAGTTTTTCTTAACTTTTTTTTTTCTTAAAAAAGCAATGTAGGAAATTAATATGCCGTACTTTTTGATTCGTACATTCTATAAGTTAAATATTAAAAAGGAAAAAAAAAATAATAAACATCGATATTCAGAGGTCTGTCTAGGTTTTTCCGAGAGGTACCTATTTTGTGAAAATTTAGATATAATTTGTGAAATTAAAAATTATATTAAAAAATCAACACAAAAATATGGATTTATCGTTTCCTACGGGATAAAAAAATAAAATTTTAAGAAACAGTATTTTGTACTACCGTTTTTCCTAAAGTTGAATTTGTGAAGGTACCGCTAAACGGTTAGTAAATTTGTCCTGGACAGACCCCAGATACTGTAATATGAATTAAGTTGGTAAATCTAATAAAGAAAATAGAAATTTATAGTTCAACTATCCAATTAATAAATTAAGTTGAGCCTCATTATAAGAATTTGCAGAATGACAAAAATTGCCTTTTCCCACGGCTTTTCATTTATAAGTGATTATAATTTCTTGAATGTGTGCAAAATGAAAGAAATAATTAAATAAAACCATAACTCCTCAATAATTTTTAATCTAATAATTGGATTTTACACATTTTATCTATCCATCTATACACACACATATATATACCCTAGCGACAATTTTACATTAGCCCCAGTGGGACTCAATATAGATCCTATATGAACATGCACCGAATGATTAATATTGGGATATCTAGATTTTTTGGTCCTATATTGGCCGAATAATGAATATAAAATATCACATGAATCTGACAATTTTATTTATGGCCGATACTGGTTGAAAAGCGGCTGCAAAATATCAGGTGAATATTGGTGTAATGAGGGCCCATGTCATTTTGCTGCGAATGTACATATTATGTTAAATTTCCTCGTTTAAACAGCATTTTACGTTGTAATCCACCGCTTAATTGTGCTAGGCTTAGATGCTAAAATATAATTTTTCTTTGCAAAAACAATTTTATCGCTTACTAAAGTGGAACTTCTGAATTTGATAATTGAAAGTAACAATATAAAACGTGGCAATTCATCCTTATTCAAAAATGTATTGAGCATATAAGAAACAAATTGTTCTGCGTACAAAATTTTTTAAACCATAAGCAGAAAAAACTAAAAAAATTCTTGGANTTAGTATAGCATGAAATTGAAAATAAAAGGGTCGGGACCTCATAAAAAAATCGAGTTATGGTAATATTCGAGTTATCGTACTTCGCGTTATAGCGAATTGACTGTATATATATTATAGGAGCCATGTCACCCCATTTGGCGCTGTTCCAAAGCGATAAAGGAAGGGAATATCCAATTGCGCACACAGCTACAGTGCAAGAAAATTCGAATCTACCGCCCTTCCGTGACTTTCAGTTAAAATGATTTTTATCAACGGCATGTGTGAAGAGATTCTGTATTTGAAGAAAAATTTCTTGTAAAATATTTTTATTATTAGATATAATTTCCTTTTTTTACTATATAGTCCGCATTATAGCTTATTAAAAAAAAAAATTTTTTTTTTAAATTTTTGCATACGACAGCTTATGTTTGTATTTTTTTCCTTCACAATCAATCATTTACGAGGTTTTTTTTTGTCAATTGAAATACATAATATGTATTAATACATAAATTCCGTGACTTTCAGTTGAATGATGTTTATAAACATAGAAAATTTTTCGCCTGGAAAGATACTGTTTCTGAAGAAAAATAAATTATTAATGACGTTTACAATTAAAGATGATGACAAAAAATAGGTAATTAATAAAATAATAATTAATCACGTTATAATTAAATGTCTAAATATAAACTAAATTTTTGAATTCTAGCATACGAAAAGTTTATAAAATAAATCTTGTACGCGCCTTCTAAGCTTACGTTTGTATATTTTTTTTTCAACGATCAATCATTTATGAGTTTTTCTTTGCCAGTCAAAATGTATAAAAACATAAGTGTATTATGTATGTATTAATACATAAATAAATAATAATTCAAAGATTTTAAAAACTAGTAACTAGATTGGGAGCGAATATGTTGCCCTTGATTCAAATATAGCGCTCTTAGTTTCCTATTTCCAAATACTTAACAATATTAAATCATACTTAATCATTTATCTTTTATTTAATTTGCTAACAGCTAATAAACATAAGATAAACCTACTGAAAATTATTACACTATTATAATTAACTAACCACGATGAACGCACAATTTTTAGGGATATTTGCGGCTGAAATTTGCATTTCTTTCAATAAAGTTGCCATTAAAATAAGAAAACATGTCACTTAAACGGTCTACTTAAATTTTAGTTTTCCAAATTCGCAAAAATTATAGGACAATTATTCGACTTTCAAATACTTTAAGTAGCTACTTTTACGAACATTTTCAAGTCAAAATACAACACAAATTTAGTTTATAGTTTAAATAATACACAATTCATACATATATTGCATGAAACTGATCTAAACTAGTTTAGTTAGACTAATATTGGATAAAACTGATATAAAATATTTGTTAAGAAAAAATTTAAAAAATTTTTTGTTAGAAATTACATTACATGCACAATTTTTATTTAAAAATTTAAAAAATTTCTTGTTAGAAATTACATTACATACATATCCCACATGTGAGAGACAGACAGAACGGCATGTGACATCACATCGTAATAATTTTATTGCGTATTGAATATCTAACGGCAATTGGGCATTGCGAATATTT